AAAGTTTTGTTTCGAAAATAAAAAATGAATTTCAACTTTATTTTATTTGCCATAATTCTTTAATTAGTATACATAAATTATATATTATAATGTAATAAAATCAAAGAAGCAAGTCATAAATAACATCCTAGGCTTTATTTTTAACGGATACAGTTTTTAAAACTCTACATTATGGATGGTAATAAATAAAATTTGCTATTGTAGTTGTAATAATTCAAACTCTTTATATTCATCAATTTGAAGTAACCTTTTTTCATAAATATAGGCAACATCCTAAAGATTTTTTTTTTTAAAAAAATAAATTTTCGTTTATTCTTGAAGTTAATTTATGCGGAAAGATAAATTTCAGAAAATTATGTGATTTACATACAGTACATAAAAATCGTTGCTTTTTTTTTTTAATAAATAATTACGTATCAAAGAATAATCCCATATATATATAATATGACTGTTAACTAAATTATTAATTAAAGTAGGATGCCAAACAACTGCTTTCAATCCAATACAATTAAGCAGTCTCACGAATACACTTAAAGATAATAAATTATATATTTTAGGTGAGCAAATGATGAAATTAGCAAAGAATTTTTATATTTACTTCTCTGTTCCATTTAATACTCAAAATATATTGTGACATGAATTGTCATAGCTCTAGCATATGCTGCTGCATCCGTTAATGGTAGCGCAAATAATAAACCATTGTTTTTATTTGATGGATTAACTTATAGAATATTGGAGGATCATTATTAATCATTCATATAATATTCAAGAGTTATTCATGGAGTATTTAAAAAATGGCTGGTGGTAATAATGAAGCCAAAGATAGCCTAAAATTAGCTTCTTAGGTAAGTTTCGTAATATATTCTAGGATATTTTTTCTTTTTTTCTGACTTTTTTCTTCTTCTTAGGTCAGTTTCATAGCGTGCTAGATTTTCAGGATATTATTTATTATGACTTTTTTTTTGATCATAAATAGCTTTTTAAGTAAGTTTATTATCGTAGTATGGTTGATTTTGAAATATTTTCTAATTTTTTTTGTATCTTTAGAATTAGAAGCTACTTCTACCATTAAATTTCCTTATTTTTATGATCAGAACTAGCTTTTTAGGAGCAGGGTGGACATACTTATATCACATGTCGATCATTTTGCCGATCATATTTTGTATTATCACATCAGCGTTTG